TTCTCAGCGGCCTTTTCGTTAAACACGGTGTTGCACTTTGGGTATAATATAGCCTTCGACCCGCTCACCCTGCATTTCTCCTGGAAATCAGTCAGACTTTTGCCAGCTTGAGGGTAAACTGCCTCGAGCTTCTCTTCAGACTTCTTGTCGGGATCATCAGTAGTCTCGACCATCATGCATTCAATTGTTTTAGTTGTCTGGTGCTTGTTGAGAACTTTAGTAGCCTCCACCATCATGCAGCCATATAGCTCAGAATATAAGGCTTCATCGACTTTCAGAGGATCCGTGTCCACTTACATTTTGGGCCTTTCGCCAAATTGAAGTCGGCCTTCCTTCAAAGCTTTCTGCACCAAGTCCCTGAAAAGAAAACATTGAGATGTCTTATGACTAAGGAAATTATGAAATTTAAAAAATCCCCTTTTTTTCTTTTGTTCTAAAAGGGGATCTTTTGCCCCAGGAGGGACAATAATCTGACCATCTTTAACTAATAAATTAAATATTTCATCGCACTTAGATACATCGAAAGTATACGTTTTTGCAACGTATTTATCTATTTTTTCGGTTTCAACCGGAATTTTTCCATTTGACGGTTTTAATGATTTGTATGTATACGGGGGTCCTGGCTTCAATTCAGCCACGTTGACCGCGTTATTATCAACAAGTTCCTCATCGTTAGACGAGTATTCATTAGCAGCAATGTACGGAACTTTCTCTTTCTTACGGTATCTGTTAGCCTGGGTTTTTCTCATTTTTTAGACGTTCAACCTGATGGACTCTATCAGCTAGCTGCGCCATATCTCTGAGATATTGAGTGTCCAGCTTTTTCTTGATCGAATAATCTAGGCCACCAGCCGCTATCTCGACTAGTTCATGCTCAGTGACTTGCATGAAGCATCGCACTTTCAATAGTCTAAACCTATTAAGATATTGGTCCATCGACTCTGTAGCCTTTCGCTTGATGCTGGCTAACTCTTTCAGAATAATTTTCAATTGTCCCATGTGAAAATGTTCATGAAACAATCTTTCCAATTGTGCCCATGTATGGACGGACTGCGGGGGTAAAGTGGTGAACCAAGTAAATGCATTTTTGGTGAGGGAACTTGAGAATTATTTCAATTTTAAATCCTCGTTGTTTGCTATGTCGCCAACTTCGGTTTGGTATCTGGCAACATGCTCGACGGTGGACTCCTCGATCTCTCCGACGAATTTGGTAAACTTTGGCACTTTCCACCCTCTAGACAACTCTGTTTGCAGGACAAAGTCTGGTAGTGGGGATGTATATGTTAGTCGTCGAAGGCCTGGGTTCGCCCCATTGCGAACCATAATTCGTTCCACCATGGCTTCTAAGTTGGGTTCACTAGCCATGGCTTCTAAGTTGGGTTCACCAGCCATGGCTTCGTGTCGAACCTGTCTGACCATATAGTCTGGGTCATGGTTTCTATGAACTAAAACAACGGGAGGCCTTTGGACCACCCTGGGTGTGTGTTCAACCTCGTGGGGCTGCTGGTTAATCGTCTCGTCAAAGACTTTTTCTTGTCGAACTGACGTCTCTGGTCGAGGTCGAGGCGTCTATCGACCCAAGGCCCTAGGAGGGCCTAAAAAGTCACCTATCTGCGTCATCTAAGTTGCCAATTGTTGATAACTATGAGTCGAATCTTATATTATTGGCCTTAATATGGTGCCCATTTGTTGGGTCAACGTGTGGAACATTTCGTGGTTACTTTCGTCCATCTGCTGCCTTATAACGGTGACGGAACTTGACGTAAAAGTTGGAAACGAAAGTGACAGAATACTAAACCCTGGGGGCCTTGTGACTTGGTTCGTCAAATGCCCTAACCCATGATAGGGAAGGAATTGAAGGAGTGTCATCGAAAAGATACAGGGAAACATTGGTCGCTAGGGATTTCACTCAAAAAGAAGGTATCAACTTTAATGATGTGTTCTCTCCTGTTGAAGCACAAATCCATTCAAATGTTGCTTGCCACGGTGCCACAATTCGATCTTAAACTAGAACAGATAGATGTGAAGATTGTGTTCTTGTATGGTGATCTTGATGAAACAATCCTGATGAAGCAACCTGAAGGGTATGTTGAATAGGGGAAGAAAGATTACGTGTGAGAGTTGAAGAGATCCTTATATTGACTGAAATAATCTTCTCAACAATGGAATAGGAGATTCGACAAGTTCATGGCACGCATAAGTTTCATTAGAAGTCAGTTCGACTACTATTTTTACTTCATATTTTAGCCTGGTAATTCATTTGTTATTTTGTTGCTTTATGTGGGTGATATTCTAATAGCAAGCAACAATGTCGAAGATGTAATGAGGGTGAAGGACGAACTCAATAAGGAGTTCGAAATGAAGGATCTGGGAGCTGCATCCAGGATTCTTGGGATTGACATCCGAAGAGATTGAAAGTAGTCAAAATTATGCTTATCTCAAGAGGCATACCTACGAAAGATTCTCGAAAAGTTTGGTATGTTGAATTCAAAGCCTATTGTGACTCCGACAAACCCTCAATTCAAGTTGAGTATATATTAGTGTACCAGTGCTGATGTCGAAAGAGCTTATATGAATAGCATTTCATATGCTAATATAGCAGGTTCTTTGATGTATGTTATGGTCTCTACTATACCCGACATAACATATGCAGTAAGTCTTATAAGCAGATACATGGAGAATCCTAGAAAGGCTCACTGGAAAGCATTGAAGTGGATTCTAAGGTACTTAAATGAGTCTCTAAACAAAGTCCTAATTTATGGTGGAGCCTTGGGTGAAGATAGTAAATCAGCAATTGAAGGATATGTCGACTCAGATTATGCAGGTTGTATGGATTCCAAAATATCTATTTTTGGATATGTGTTCACTATGTTTGCATATCAATCAATTGGAAAGCAAAACTTTAGAAGGTTGTTGTCTTATCAACCACTGAAGTGGAATATATCGCCCTAACTAAAGCTGTGAAGGCAGAATTGTGGCTTGAAGGTTTTGCAAAGGAGCTGAAACTTCAAGGTCGAGGTGTCATTGTTAAATGTGATAGTCAAAGTGCAATACACCTGTCGAAGAATTCAACCTATCATGAGCAAACCAAGCACGTTTATGTGAGGCTATATTTTGTCAGAGGGGTAATCGAACGTGGAGAAGTCCAGGTGCTGAAGGTTTCGATAAATCATAATGTTGTTGATATGATCACCAAGATGCTAGATATGAGGTTAACTAGAGGTTCTCAAGTAGATGCTAGGTGAGGATTCGTTCCGAACGGGAGCCCAAGTTACTTATGCGGGAGAAATTCCTTCTTGCAATGGATGAATTCACAAGCAAGGTGTGAAAAGGAATGATCAGTATTCAACCAAATAAGAGATCTTTTGGAAATTTTCACCTAAAGACTTGAGGCTAACTCGAATCCATAAAGAATTTCCTTGATGGACCATAGGTTATCATTAGAAGGATCGCCCAACATAATTGTGTCATCCATATACTGAAGAAGAAAGACTACTAAGTCAAAGGAACCCACATGAAAAATAGAGAAAAGCTGCAACTATATAGCTCTAGAGAACAAGCCACCAAGAGAAATAGGAAGAGAGCAAGGGGATCCCCTTACTTCAACCTTCCCTGGATGCTAACCTCTTGGATTAGACAACCATTAACCAAGATAGAAAAGTTACCACAAAAAACACTGGCATAAATCTAACTTCTCCACCTATCATTAAACCCAAACCTAAAAAAATATATAGTCAAGAAAAGACTAGCTAACATAATCATATACTTTCTCAAAATTCACTTTGAAAATGAGACATGATTTTTGTTCTTTTAGGCTAAATCCACTATCTCATTCATAGCTACTATCCCTATTAACTAAGAACCAACCTTTGAAAAAGAATGATTGGTTATAAGAAATAAATTTATCCATAACACTAAAGATCATATCCACCAAGACTTTAGCGAGGATCTTATAAAGAGATCTCACTAGAGAGATAAATGAAAAGTCTCCCAAATGCAAGGGAGAGTCAGCCTTGGATTTCAAGGACACAATGAAAGAAGAGAAACTATCATCTCTTTTACAACGACATGCTTAAACTTGGATTTTAAAAAGAGAAGAAACAAAAATATGCAATCTATATAGTTAGAAAATATAAATCACCGGACAAATAAAAGATAATTCTTTGTAAATAAAAAGATAACTCAAATCTTTGTTTGATGCTTTAAATGTAATTTTATGAGATTAAAAAACAATTTATTGAGGAACTGTTTGGATTGACTTATCTATTGTCATAACTTTTGTGAGATTGTTTGCAAGAGATTATCAAAATAAGTTATCTATTGTCATATCTTTTGTGAGATTGTTTGCAAGAGATTATCAAAATAAGTTATGGCATTATATATATATATATATATATATATATATATATATATATATATATATATATATATATATATATATATATATATATATATATATATATATATATATATATATATATATATATATATATATATATATATATATATATATATATATATATATATATATATATATATATATATATATATATATATATAAACTTATTCATAAATATTTATTTCATAAGCACTAATGATATAAACTGTAAGTAAGTTGTTTATTCAAAAAAACCATTAGTGTTCAACTAATAATTTTGACTTAATGAATATACCATTTTTACAATAACGAATTAGTGTGTATTGAGTCATCTAATATTTATCTCCATTCATATCCCTCAATTTTTTGGGTCAAAACTGCGTCCTAATTTTAATTTAGATATACATTAAAGGATATATTTTATAAGAGCATGTGAGAGTAAATTTAATTGTATATCTTTATTTGAATTTTTTTTGGTCAAAACCTCTCCTTTTAATCGAAAAGGAAAAAATGTATAATTCAATGTAGAATATAATTTATATCGGTAAGGTGCATGTATTTCATATTTGAAAAACTATTATAACTACTCTACTGTATTATTAGTGTTTTTCTCCAGAAAAAAATGGTCGGAGACAAAAGAGTTTATATGATCTCTCACACTACCACCAACACCAATTTGATGTTGCCAACACCCTCCAAAAGGCATAGGGGAAGACCCTCAGGCTCTAAAAACAAACCTAAACCACCTATCATTATTAAAGAAAACTCAGAGACTCTCATGGAAATGGTTTCCATTGAGATTCCTGCTGGAAGAGATATTGTAGAGTATCTCATCAATTTGGCTCAACGTCATCAATCTAGCTTAACAGTGGTGAGGGGTTATGGCCCTGTCATTGATGTTACACTTCTCAACCTGGTGTCACATACCCCTTCTTTTCCCATTGCAGGACCGTTCCGTATGATATCTCTATCAGGAACATATATAAATTCCAATTGTGGTCATGTTCCTCCACAATTCGCCACTAATCCATCATTTTCCTCTTTTTCCATTTACCTTTCTGGAGGCCATGGGCAAGTTTTTGGTGGAGTTCTTGGAGGGAAGGTAAAATCTGCAGGTGTTGTGTTGATTACAGCCACTCTTTTCAAGAAACCTGTGTTTCACAGGATGGTCACCATCAATGGAACTATTCAAGATATTGAAGATGATGATTCAATATATGGTGGTGGTGTCCTCATCAATGGTGAGCGTGTTGCACCTGAATCCAGCAATACTAATGTTCTTAATTTTCGAGGCTTTGGTGTAGTGGGTTCTGATTCAACTCATGCAATCAATCATCAAACTGTCTCTTCTCATCTTCCTATTGATATGAATGTCATGCAGTGGAACCACGCCACTCAGTTTAATAATTATTAGTTAGAATAATACTCTAAGTACTTTTGTTCTTCAGTTTATTGAGTATTTTTTTATGTTTGAATAAAATGAACTAAATTTCAGGTTTGTTGAGAATTTTATATATCACCATGGCATGTCTTCACCATGCTGGTTAATCTCCTTCATTTTATTTTTCATGTATAATTTATTTTATTTCAAATAGTTGGAAATCATATAACAAATATTGGTTTGGTGCTTTCATGATTATTGAATTGGTAGAAAGTACAATAAAAGATACCTTGATTTCGATGAGATGTGCAAGAAGGATTTTCTTAGTTCTCATATTTAAAAGTGTGAATGAATGCTCCAACTGTGTGGCTATATATTTATAGAGTTGATTCCTTGGTCAAGTGTTTGCTGCGAAGACCAGTTCAAGCGACTATAAGCCCGAACACGTATCCCCTAGCCATGTCTAGATAGTGGTAGTGAGTGGAGTCAATCCTCCTCCTCAATAAGGAGTGCATTTATCCTAATAAGTGGCTTGAAACGTTCTCCCACGATTCATTTCTATGTTATTTTCAGGCTAGGTTATTGGTGAACCAAATTCATTGAGACCGATTCGAATTTATTTCATTTCATCCTCCATCATGCACACGGTCTGGAGGGACAATGCGATTTAGTAAAGACATCTCAATACATAGTCCCTCATGCACGATGCATGGAAGGTTTATGTGATTAATACAAGACATCCCAATTCACCATACCTCAAGCATAAGTTCTTGTGGGGAGGTATGAATAATTAATGTCATCTCAATTCACAACCCCTTAAGCATGAGACAATGAATGAAGATGTGTTTGGGCACTTTATCTAGTGCAAAGAAACAAGTATTTTTTTTATAAGTAGAAGCTTACATGATATTAATATCATGACTTAATAGGTGTGAAAATCAGATTGTTTAGACAAATAGTGCAATGATTCATATAGAATCTAGCTCAATAAGGAGCAAAAATTGTTAGCATGACTGTAAAAAACCTAGTGTTAATTCTTAAAGTGCCTTCACGTATCTATTCTAATCGAAAATAAAACATTTCATGCTAACACAAGGAGAGAAATGCTTTAATTAAGAAAAACACAATTATCTACACAACAGGCCTGGTGAAAGTCTGGTTGTCGTGGGCCATGACGGTCATCACCTGGGGATGCCCATCAGGGGTCACCCATCAGCAAACGATGACAGTCATAATCAAAAGGGGTAACTCGTCTGCTAGTGCTGAGGTTTATCATAAAGACCAACTCCAGTCATATGGGATTTGGAGCATGAAGTTCATAATGTCAATAAGGGTGACGGTCGTCATCGCTACCAGAATTGCATTTTCTGCAGAAAAAACAATCAGACCCAAATTTCATGTCTTTCTCCCACTGTAATGCATCATATATCACATTCAAGAAATAATACATGTTATGGAAAAAATTTCACAGCAACACAACATCATTTTATTTGCAATTAACAAGTATTCAAACAATCAAAACATGCATTTCCTAAGAAGACAAGAACATTCATAAAAGCCCATTTTTTCCTAACATCCAAGGTTTTTTTGCCAAAAATCAGCTTCTTCCCGACTAACTAATATAACCCCACCTTAAAGAACTTGGAATTTGAATTTATATGAAGATGATGGTGGCTCTATTGTTGGTTTCATGCAAGTTTTCTTCCATTTTCCACTCTCTCTCTTCTCTTCTTTTCTTTTACTAGACTTACGATTTTTAGAATATTTACAAGACTTACTAATAGCTTGCTAGAATATTTATCACTTTTCCCTCTAGCTTTTCCAAAAACTCCAATATGCCACTAGTTCAATAATCTTACTAAGTCCTAATGTTTACTATTAATCTTGATATTTAGAAACATTAGACACTTAGATTAAAATGGAATATTATAATTTTTGAGTTCATCTTCATCATTTAGTTAAACATGTTAAATGTATTGAACACATTTCCCATTTATCCTTCTTTTCTTTTTCACGATTTATTGATGTCGATTATTAGTGAATTAGATAAAATTAAAATGGGATATTACAATTTTTGAGTCCATCTTCGTCATTTAGTTAAACATGTTAAATGTATTGAACACATCCCACGTTTATCCTTCTTTTCTTTTTCACGATTTATTGATGTCGATTATTAGTGAGTTAGATAAAAATGATATTATGGTAAAATATACAACACACTAAGGGATTTATGAGATGTGGAAACAATATGTAGAAAATTCAACATGATCTGGTGAGGGGTTGATCGGAATCTTATACAATTAGAGATGTTTAAGAGTTACGATTGTATTTTCCCTATTATTTTTCAACCAAACATGATCATTTATCGCACCTACTAGGACCAGTCATTTCAGGTCAGGTATTGATCATATTTAGTCTGTCTACACTCATGAGGCTATGGAAACCTTGTTTTAAGGGTTTGTATATGTCGATGAAGAGGATGTCATATTGGAGTCGTGTGACGAGGGTCCAAGGGTATATTTAATGATGCCTCAATGTCCAAAGGGCGTGTTCATCTATATGTACATTACTATTATTTATGACTTGGGAGTATGTATTCCCTTCATTGTTTTTGTGTCTGGAGTCTGTCGTAACCTAAAATTTAACCTTTTTTTTTTTTACCTTTACATAAGCATGTGCATTCGCATCGCAGACATACATGTTCACACTTTTTCTCTATGGTTTTTGTTGCAGGAATATTCGGGTTTTTCAAGCCCGATTAATCACATCCTCATAAAGACCTCACATCATCAACATAAGTACAAAACAAGGGTTTCTATGCCTATTCATCAAACTAAAAGGTCGAAAAATGGAGTTGTGGCCATAGCACCATTTTTCAGGCAAATTGGGCAAAATTTGACCTGGTTAATCGATTAATCATTTGTTAGTGCAAATGGGTTAATCGATTAACCTACGTAAAAAATGCAGATTCTGCTGCATTTTCAGGACAACAACTTGTACTCTACCATTTTCGGGTCTACTTAGTGCTAGCATTGTATGGAACATTCCAAACATCTCTAGACATTTCAAGATCTTTCTAAACACTTCAAGGCATTTGCTCCAATACATCAATTTGAAGGGAGACTACCATGTAACTTCATTTGCAAGCATGAGAACCTTTTGATTTGAACTTACATGGGGATTGCTACCGAGTCAAGTACCTAACTAACTGAGTTAACCTCCAACTTAGTGAGTTGAGTCCAACTAACTCCAAAGCTAGTTCAAAAGCATATTCCAAACCTAGCAACTCCGAATCTCTTTCTTATATAAACAAAGGTCCACCATTTCACAAAGGACCCTTAATCATTTTCTTACCCTCAATCATTTTCTCAGTTTCTACATTCATGACTCTCAATTCTCTCACATTCTATTTGAATTTTCTGCAAATTTTTCTCACATTCATCTTCACTTTCTCCCCAAACCATAGTAGAGCTCAAATTCACCATTAAAGAGTAGCAACTTCTACATTGGAAGTGTTTTTCTCTTGAGCTTAACCATCATCATCTTGCAATTATACTTGGTTTTCTGGAGTTATATTGGCTTTTGAATCATCTCAAATGATTACTCCAAGCTCCTTTGGTGAAAATTCATATTTGGAGATTTCGTTGCATTTTGCTCAGTTTTGCTATGATTTGGTTGCAAATTCTGATTTCTATGGTTTTCTTTGATTATCTTCATCACAATTCATTTGCAACAATATCCAAGGAAAATCTCAGCCTTGTAGGTTGGTTATCCTTTGCTCATTTTACTATTTCGATAATTTTCGTAGCGTTTGCGATGTAGTTTCAATAATTTCTTGTGTGTGAATTGATTATGCCATTGCTTGATCCTTGATCTTGATGAGTTGATTGATTCCATTTGTGATTATTTGCTGTTTTTGGACTTGATTTCCGTGCATAAATGTTTTCCCTAGCATGTGAGTGATTGCATAAATCATAAGTGGCCAAAAGTGCTTTTGAAATATCAATTTTCAGCCACTGCTTCAGTGTTAATCGATTAACACTTCTGCACTGGCAAAGTGTTAGTCGATTAACATTGTGTATTTTAGTAAAAATCTTCCTTTTTTAAAGGGTCAGTCGATTAACACTGCTCCAGAATGCCATTTTTGTGCATTTTTCAAGTATGTCTGACATTCTTTTTTCATTCAACTCCCATGGATTGTTATGATTGATTTTTATGGATATTTTGTGAGTCATTTAACTTCTGTTTGAAGCATGCTTGTAACTTTCCGATGCTCGATTTTATCGATTACGCATTTGTTCACATTTTTGGCATTGTATAATCATGTTCATTCTTGAACATTTTTTGATCACATGCTACATGATTTGTGAATGCTTTTTGGTACTGTTTTACACTTTCACTCTTGTATGCATTAAGATTGTTCCTCTTTGGGATAAGGTTAATCTTGTATAATCAATCATTCACCCTTTTGCTTTAATAATTTTTCATTCTTTTGGAAAACTGTTAGCATATCACTCCCTTTTAATTAATTAATTGAAACTTCGTTCGATTAGTTGATCTTCCATTTTTTCTCCTTTAGATCTCCTAGAGCTTCGTCATCCTTTTGCCCCGCGGAGTTGAAGATTTGTAACGCGTTGGAGCACTATACAAAGTTTGCGCCGTTGTGTTGTCGGTTTCGTTTCTCGCACTACACTTTGGTGTTAGAGAAGGAATGAGAGTGGAGAATTCCTACATTCATTCTGATTATTTTGGGTAGGGGAAGAATAACCATGTTCCTGGAATAGTCGCCTCTATCTCCTTACGATGGTATCCCTCATTTCCTAATCGAGTCAATCCTTTCTCTTCGGTTGAAACATGGTCTTCCTGTTAAGAACCGAGTATTTATCGAAGTTCGCAACCTTCTTTTGATTCTCTCTTTCTTGTTTGGTTAATCATTGTCTGTCAGTTAAAACACCAATTTGTTCTTTTATCAGTTGACCATAGTCCGTATGTTAACTTACTGAGTTTGCCTCGGGTTAATTACCTGCTTCCGG